ACACCACCGAACCCCCACTCCCCATCCCACCTCCATAAGTGTTTTGCTAGATAACTTATAAATGCTCTTGGGATAATATTTACTTGCCAAACACTAGAAAATAAGTAAGAAACCCACTTGTTTTCCAGGAAATCATTATCAGTGGAAAACATTTTCCTTCGTACGAAATACGCGTGTTAATTTGGATAATGGCAGAAGCCACCTGTCTATTTTTGTACATTACTAAGCAGAATTCTCTTTTGCTTGCTGCATTGATGCATTGCGTAATGTCCTTCGTTTGCCTTTTCTTATATCAGTATTGGAATATTCCGACCCTTCCCCGGACCCTGCACATAGCGGGAGCTTAGTGCACTGGACTTCCCTTTTGTGAAATTTCCAGAAGAATTGGTTAGAAGAATGACCTAGCAAAACCAGTCTTAACAACTTGTCTTCAGGCACCCTCTCCTGTAATATCCTACCCCCCAGCTAAGATCGCTAATGACAAGCTCCTGTGATATACTCATAAATTGTTAGCCCGTACAAGCTCGTATACTTCTCCTTCTTGCCACCACTCTTTCCCATTGTAAAGAGAACTTCATTCAGATATTTCCTTATGTAATATGTCACAGTCACACTTCCCTCTTCCTACTCATTCCACCCCAAGTGTAGGTGGATAATGGAAATGGGGTTATGAAAGGGCTAGGTAATTCTTACAGATACATGTTTAGCAATCATTTTACGCTTAGAAGTTTACCTCAACTTGTAGATCCAAACTTTCAACGAAATACTTTTTAAACCAAGAAGGCAAGAACCGGAGTTAATATTACGGCTGGACTTGTCTGTTTTGCGAATGTGAGTTATATTGCTGCTGGACTTCTCGATCTTGTGTTATGATAAAGATGCTAATAATACCAGTTGTGGACTTACACAGGTCAAAGATTTGGAAATTGAGGTTGATTCTCTAAAACAGAGTGGCAAAGAGAACCTGCAGCAAGCAGTTCTAACTGAGAAGGAAAAATTTACTCAAATGCAATGGGATATGGAGGAACTTAGAAGAAAGTGTGTGGAGATGGAATTGAAGCTGGCGGCTGAACAGGTCTACTGTCACTCTCTTCTATTACAAAGTGTGATTTTTCTTCTATATTTCGGACAGTGAGCAAGTTGTTACTGAAAATTGTAAAGGCTGACAAGATGCGGATGGAATCAACGCAAAGAATCTTAGTACAAGAGAATGAAAGACTGTACCAAGAGTTGGATGCTGCTCAACAGCAGAACAATAGCTTGCAGAAACTCCATTTGGAGTTGGAGTCGAAGTCCAACACAGATGTCAAACTTTTAGTCAAGGAGGTTAAATCTCTACGAAGTTCCCACACAGAACTCAAACAAGAGCTCAGCAAATTGGCAAAAGAGAAGGCAGAAGTTGAAGTAATCATTCACTTAATTGTTTTTTATTAATGCATAATCATTCTTAAAAGGATACTTATAAGTGCAGTGGATAAGCAATTGATTCTCTAGTATTTAGGGTTAAACCAAGGATATATTGTGCTTTTCATTTTCTTGTCCCTGGGGAAGGGTGGGGTTGTAAATTTTTCTCCATACATCTGTCCTTCAATAAACTGTGAAAATGATGATGTTCCTTTCTTTCAGATGATTTTACGGGACGAAAGGCAAACTAGGGAACATGCTACCGCTGCAAATATTAAGCTGCTGCATGAGTATGAAATTCTTCGCAGTAAACTTGAGGAATGCAGTGTCAGTTTTCTCATCGAGGAAGAAAATAAACTGGTCCTGGATGCTTCTATCCCTTCTGATGCCATTGATATACTGTCAACATCTGATGATCGAATAGGTCTACTACTTGCAGAGGTGTGTCTTTACTTTTTGTGCTTACATTTGGGCTGTTCTTAGCTGTGCTTTTCCTAAATGCTCTGAATGACATGTAGTTTTCTCTAATAGAAACTCTACATACAATTTATGTTCTACTCAGATGCTTGAGATCCATGTCTTTTCTTAAGATCCAAGTTTCCAGTCTTCTGTACAACTTCCAAAAAGAAATAAACAGATATACCAACATCTTAGCGAAAGAGAAAAAATGGGAAGAATATGAAGAAATCCATATCCTGCCCTAAGGAGTATTCGGTTTAACAATTGGATGAGGTTATAAACATTTCTTTAGCATCTTATGTGGACTCTGATTATCAGAGGAGAATGCTTTGATTGTGTTGAGGTCAGTGTTTTGGACGGCGAGAGGCGACAAGGGCCTGCCTCGCCACACGGCGAGGCGAGCGGCGAGGCGCTCGCCTTTTTGAATCGCGGCACCAATTAATACCAAAAATTAAAAATATTTAATTGCATATATAAATATCCAAATTCTCAATAACAATAACATATATTAGCAAATATTTCAATTCAAAAACATAACCCTAACGAGATAAGAGATTTAGGTTAATGAGTATAAATAAGTCAAATATTTTATTTTATTTTAAAATGTAGGCAGTGGGCAGTGGCTTCAGTTCTTCTTCAGAAATTAGACTTCACAATAAAAAACAGAGGGACTGAGAGAGTACTAAAAACAGAGCAAAAGAAGAGAAGAGAGATTGATTCGAGAAAAAAAGAGAAGAGAGAAGTCACGACTCACGTAAGAGAAGAGAGAACTCGCAGCAGCAGCAGTCGCGACTCGCGACTTCAAGTTTCCAGTCGAACTTGTAGCAGCAGCAGTCGTCGCGAACTCTAATTCTAGTCGAGGTATTGATTTCAAGTTTCCAGTCTCGAAATGAGAAGGAGCAGTCGCGACATCAAGTTTGAAAAAATACCAAAAAAAAACCCTAATTTGGCTTTTAATTATTAAAATTCAGACTTTTAAAAAAAATAATCAAAAAGGTGACGCCTATTACATCGCCATTCCACGTCATTGAGTCGCATTGGCTCGCCTTTTTGACCTCGCCACGCCTTGCCGGAAATAGGCGCAGACCCCTCGCCACGCCACGCCTCGTTGCCAAAGGCGAAAGGCGCTCGCCTTTAAGAACACTGGTTGAGGTACTATTGTCTTTATTGTTCTGTTCTTGGTGCTTGGGAATCAAGAACACAAGTAGATAAAATGTTGAAAAGAAAATAGAGAGTTCTACCAGCTGGGAACCAAGAAGTAAAAAAAAAAGGAAGAGCGCTATCACCTTTTCTGACTTGCCAATTTACTTCATGTATTGCTTAGCAATTATCATCTGTTGTTAAGCAGTTAAAGGAACAACAACCAACCCAGCTTTTTATAACTGGGTTATAAGGACAAGATAATATCGTAGTACTACTATACCATATGGCATATGCTAGCGTGCATTTGCCATATCTAACTTAGACGTAGTAACCTACCAAACTAGTAACTTGATTGTTTGATATCCAGCCTACGTGAATTAGCGTGGCTATGCTTTTCTTGCAATGTTATGTGTTTCAGATCTTGTTATGTTTTGCCGTTGTAACTTCTGTTGATTGGCTGAGTCATTATGATAATGAAGGTAAAAGCTGCATGAACATGCTCAATCTCTCTCATTCCTCTTTCTTCCTTGGTGTCTTAAACAGGCCCAGCTGCTAACACAAGATGTTGAAACTACCATTGCTGGGAGAAATCTTGATGGAGAATATTCAAGGACAGCAGTGGATGAATTGAGGAAACAACTAGCTGATGTTTATGTTGACAATGCCAAATTGAGGAAACAGATGAATTCTGTCATTCGTTATGCACTACAAACAGCTAGTAGATCAAAGGACAATGAGGAAGAGAGCCCTTCAACAAAGACAGCTCTTACGAAGCCTTTAGATGGATGATTTATAAAACGCAGAACACGTATCTATAATAAAACATGGAGAAGCTTGTATAATATTTCCTCCTTTCTCTTATACTCTCAAATGGCCTCATAGTATATACGTGGCTTATTTCATCTCCATTATGTAATAGTAGTGACTAATTGGAAAATTGTCATTGAAGATTAAGTTTGAAATAAAGCTTTCCATTGTGCTGCTATAACCTGAGACCGCAGAGAACCAGACACTATTGATGAAAGCCGAATATAGGTGGTCATTGAAATAGTACTTCACAACAATCTGCAACAGAAAATTTGTGCATAGCAACTAGGCAATATACAAATACGTCGGTAAAGGTTAAAATAGCAACTTGGCTGCTCATCATTAATCAATGACAAATGTCATCCAGTAAACTGATAATTTACAAGCAGCGCATGAAAAGATCATGTCATACAAGCATAGCATGAAGTGGAGCATCAAAATCATACAGCGTTTCATTCTAAATTTACCAAATGCATCTGATTCAAAATTTGAAAGATAGGGAGTGACAAAGATTTGGTTATATGCTATTTCCACCAACTATGGATTGATAACGTAAAGTACAAGTTCAATTGTGATTCCATTATTACTCTCCACCACCACCACCACCAAACATACCCATCATGTCCTTTGCGGAACCCATTTGCTTCATTAAGTTCTGCAAACCACCCATTCCACCTATCTGCTTCAACATCTGAGGGGGGAGGACTTTGCTCATGTTTTGTGCATTCATGTTTCTGGACAGGGAGCTCATATCTCCTTTCTTTGGAATCTTAAGACCCTTCATCTTGCTGAATATTTTGGCAAGTCGTTTGTATTCTTCCAACATCTCCATCACCTCATGCACTAGACGGCCAGATCCCCTAGCTATACGCATGATCCGAGATTCAGTCAAAATCTTTGGATTGGTACTGTCCAATTCTGCAATTATGTTATCAATTTCAAATCAAAAGGTTAAACAATATTCTAAATACGGTGTACAAATAGCTTAAACAGAACTCCATAAAATGTAGCTCACTTGCCTTCATCAGTCATGGAGTCCATCATTGTCATATACCGTTTAAATTTTGCTTGACTTTCCTTTTCACGACCTTGTGGCATCATCTCTGCACTAAATCCAGGAAGCATTGAGAAAACCTACACATACCAAAAAGAACATCAATGATGTGCAACCAGAATGATATCAATCAACCTCCAGAACGAAAAGCAAAACAGGCATGAGCGTGACTTCGTAAAATAAATAAGGAACCAAAGAGGGGGAACAAAAAAAAAAAGAAGGGGAGGGGTGGGGTGGGGGTTAGAAGGGGTTCGAAGAAGAGCAGAAAAATTCCATCCAATCAAACTAATGTTCATGTGTTAAAAAAACTTTTGGTAGGAAAAATTAATGCTCAAATGAGCCTCAAGTAATTTGAAATGCATAAATCTATTTGGACGAAAACGCATTTAAGATGCTTGAAACATTTCCACGAATAGCATCAACTCTCAAATTGCCAAGTCACTACAAGCTACCTAATGTGGGATCCATATTTAATGTGAGTGCTCAGAGAACTCATTCCGAGTGAAATTCATGTTCAAACACAATTAACTTCCAAATACATTTCTTCCACTTCAACTTCAAATACTCTTTTATTCCAACATCAACCAGTTATTGTCCAAATACACAATTTGAATTCAAATACTTCTTTTCAATGTCTACTTCAAAAACTCCTTTTCTTTTCTCCAACCAAATATTGTCCGAACCCCCAAGTATTTCCTAACTATCTTTAGTGGATTTCAATTTTTTTCAACACTAGTGCCATTTGAAATCATTGCAGTTTGAGCAACGGATAGCAATATAGGAAATAAAAATGTATATTATGAAAAAATTAACGCATAAACAATAGAGTTGCCTACTAACAAGTTTAAATTCTTGGAAGGATTTAAAATCTACCAATCCAAATAAAGCCTAAATGAAACAGCAGGCTCCAAATGGTCTTCAACAACTTGCTCAAGTTACTAGATCAGTATCTTTAGATTTATAACACAGAAGATTAAGGACAAATGGAAAATTGAAACAAGCCTCAGAGATTTTCTAGAAGAACTTACAAAAACGAAATCATAAGCTTTTGCAGATTACTGAACCCCTAACCATAGTAACTTATTTCATATGGTTACAGATTTCAGAAACAGCAAGAAAACATCTTTACATGCAACTAGATTTGCTTTTGAAATGGTTAAAGGCAAAAGAAGAAAAAAAAAAGGAAGAAAGAAAGAAACCAAAAGAGAAAAAAGCAGAGAGGGGGGGTGTGGGGAGCAGCAGTTGGGAAAGGAGGGACCCGACTGTTCTCCCATAAGTTCAAAAAGTGGTAAAGTAAAAAAAAATATCAAGAAATGTGGGGACCTCAATGAAGAAAATGGCGGCTGAAAACAAAATTTTAGAAATTAGAAACCTGAAATGACTGATTTTTGTACCAACTTGGATTTTCATGTTGGTTTTGCCACCCAACTGTTTTTTTTTCCACACAATTGTTTGATTCAGAAATCAAAACCTATTAGTTCTGGGTTTGGTCATCAATGATATAACATTCAGAAAAGTCTGCCAAATTCCAAAAGGAGAAGGAGAAAGCAAGAGAGAAGGGTTGGGGGGATGATCAAATTAATTTAAGTGAGAGGCAAACCTGTCCAAGGGGACCCATTTTAAGCATGTTCTGAAATTGCTCGTACATGATCCTCAAGGTAAAATGTCCTTCTGATAACTTCTGAAGAAGCTCAGGTTGTTGATCCATTGGGACCACATCCTGTATCTTGTTCACCAATCCAGACAAGTCACCCATGCCTAGAGATAGTTCAGCAGATCAAAATCAATGGCAGTGGAAATAGGAACATAGGTCCAAGCAAAGTTGACAATATCAAGTTATCAACAGAAGAATGCGAACCTAAAAGACGGCTGACAAATGGTTTAACATCAAAAACTTCAAACTCGTCCATGTGTTCACCAGTTCCAATAAATATGACTGGACTTTGAGTTGCAGCAACTCTGCAGATGGAAGAGCAAAAGAACAAATAAATATTTTTTAATCCAAAGAAACGGACAATAAAAGCAGAATGTTCAGAGAACACTTGATCCAACTTATAATTTGTGAAAATCAATAACAAAATCCTTGTGAAGTCCCCAAAGGAATGTCCTAGTGGCTGTGACAGATTAACAACCTGGAGATCCCAAATCTTCATCCCATTTACAACACGCGATGGAGCTAATTTGCTCCAACCTTTGCAAGCAAGACTACCTTGACAACATGTGCCCGCAAAAGACCACAAGTTGGTTTTGAGCTTTTTGGAGCCAAAAGACAGAAGTTCAAGTTTTACCATTCTAATTTTGCATCAACTGTTCAGCATCAATTTCTAAATCTCGTTGGATAAAGGATAAGCATTTTCTGCAGGAATATCTTAATGATTTACTATGCGACAGAAATAGGTAACCAACAAGCGTTTCTCTTACCCAGAAAAAGCAGACTAACAGGTTGTACCACCAAAAACAAGAAAAAAGAAATAACAGCAGCAGCCTGCAGCTTCGAGCTACCATGTCTAGAATTTCAAATGTTAAAAGCTGATATCATGAGCTTTAGCATATGCTCTGTAGTTATTTAAGAGTACCCAAAACTCTAAGAAGAAGTTTCTTTAAGGCTACAGCCAAACAATTAAAAACTTACGCACTTAGGGCACCACCTCCTTTTGCATGGCCATCCATCTTAGTAATAATCACGGCTCCAACTGCAACACTTTGTCGAAATGCTTGAGCTTGATCAAAAGCAGCTTGTCCAATACTACTATCCATAACAAATATCACGAGATCCGGTTTCTGCGGAAAACAATAAGATGAGCATCTAATGAAAGGGAAAATATAGAACATAGTAGAACATACCGTTGCTTCAGAAACTTGTCGCATTTCTTCAAAAAGAGCTGCTTCTTGTTTGTGGCGCCCACTGGTATCCACAATTATTAGATCACAATTTTCCTTCTTAAATGTTTCTACACCATCCACAGCTATTTTCATTGGATCTGATTCTGTATAGCTGTTGCAGAAACACTCATTCAATTAAAACAAAATGGCCTGAGGTGTTGATTACAACATTGATGCAGTTTAAAATGACCAGATTGCCAATTACAGGTTCAGTCCTATGCAGAAAGATACACAACAACAGTAAATTCCATCCAAAACAGGTAAACTCTGTATTTTCCTTTAACCTAACAGCAACAAGAATAGCTTTCTTTTTTTCCTCCTTTTCCCATTTGGATGAAAATTTGGCTCAAAAGGATTTTAAAAGAAAACGTTGAGAAAGCTTAATTACTCTAGCAGATTGGGTTTTATTGATAGTGCAGATGATGACTTTTAGGCAGCAGGCAGCTGTCAGCTAATTAACGTTAATCTTGAGACATTTCTAAGCAAAGCACCATTCACTTTCTCATGCACCAGGCAATGTTTCTTAGATTTCATTCTCCGCTTCCCTTATCTAAATGCACTTCAACTTTATCAATGCTTATGGACCTATGACATTGTTTATTGATCGAATTAAACAAACAAAAAATGATGAGTTTTGGCTTCTTCTGTCAGGAAGAAGAACAGAAGAATATGGACCATCATTAGATAGTATGATGATCATCAAGCATCTAAATGTGTGGAGATAACAATAACAATAATAGATTCAGAAAAGGATATGCCTTCCATAAAAGGGAATTTTAGCTTTTGTTGCATTCTGCTTCAATTGATCGAAAGCACCAGCTCTGAAGGTATCTGCACAGACTAGAGCCGGCTTCCAACCCCTTTTCTGGTGGTGGTAAGCATATTTTGTACATGTTGTAGTTTTTCCAGACCCTGTGTGAAATTACAAGACATAAGGATACCATCTTGTAATTGAAGAGGAAAAGCTCTTGGTGTGCATTATAATAATTGTGCCAAATAATGTTACTGCTCAGATAGCTAATGCTAGCTCACATATAAACTTGTTACAGAACATACAGCTAAGGTAGAAAAATAAATTAACACACCTTGCAAACCAACAAACATTACAACACTAGGTTTCCCTTTTTTCAGTGTAAATGCAGGCTTCCCAGGATCCAATATCTTGCAGAGCTCATTATACACAGCCTACACAAATGAAAGAAACTATCTCAAGTCAATACAAGAAGATAGTGAGGAAAATATAAGTATAAAATGATTAAGAAAATAGAAAAAAAACAATGAATCCCCAACTGGACACAAAAAGAAAACCAGTTAAGCATCATAAGAAGGAAGAAACAAGTGAAGAGATATCATGATAGATGGCCTATAATTTCATTTGCTTTCTTTTCTTGGTTTTTTTAATAAGTACTAGTGTTCTTTTCTTGGTTTTCTTTACAAGTAATAGTGTTCCTTCCTTGTTTGATGCCTTTCCAGCTCCATAAGCTAACAACATTGGAGGCTTGTTTACCAGTCTCACGACTTAAGAGACTTATTGAGCGTTAAAAAGCTGTCTCCATTGCTTATCTAAATTACTAGAAAATGAAAGGAAATAGGGACAGTTCCCCTCCAACCTGCAAAGAAAACGCCTACAAGATTTCCTGAAAATCTTTCAGCCTCTTTAGGCACTACTCTGTGAATATCAAATTCTCAACAGCTAAATCATCTTTACATGCATATCAACATAACAAGGTCAAATTTTCGGCGAAAAGAATACAAACCTGTTGAATAATCCTACGCTTGTTGTGTCCAGCGGCAAGATCCTCAAGATTGACAATCTTCTTGATATTTGTTGACATATCACGAACTAGTTTAAATTGAACATCGGCCTGTAGAAGAGCACGGGTGATCTCATTGAGGCACTCGTTGAGGACCTTTTCATCAATGATTGTGGCATTGCTCATCTGCTGGAGAGCACGCGAGATGCTCCCCCCTAATTGTGCTAACACCATCTTGACGGAGATCGAGAAGAAGATCGATTAATGAAATCAACAGGATTTTGAAGGAACTTCAATGTTTGTGAATGCCCAATTGATTAGGCTTTAAGATTTGGGAACGAAAACTTTGTTCAGTGATTTCTCTTATAAGGAAAGGATAATTTTGGGGGAAAACAAGGATGAACGCAAGTCTTTGCTGGTGGACTCGGGTCTCGGACTTCAACCCGACCCTCTCGTTTTTCATGGGCCGGGAGCTTCTATTTTCTCATCTAAAAATAAATATTCAATTAAATATATATCTGGGTGTAGGCGGCCTTGTAGAGATTGTGTCCCATATACCCGAAAGCATAACACAACACTTTGAGAAATAAGGAGTTGCAGAAATTTACAATATCAAATTTAAGATTAAATTTTTCGTAATCTGCAACTATATCATTTCTTTCTAACATATTATCGACCGATTTTTATTTCTTTTTAAATTATTCATAGTCAATTTCTTACCTCTGCCACTGAGTTATTTGTGCATTTCATCTTTCACATGCTAGAACCATTTTAATAAAATAAAAAAATATATAGTATAATTTTAAATTACCTGAAGAAAACTATTGGGTCTTATATTTCATAAATTTTACTGGTACTTGAATTTCAATTTGTCTATTAATTTTTATTGAGAGGTAAAAAAAGAAAGAGAAAAAGAAAAAAGCCAGCTCTTTTGGCCATTGGATGAGGAAGAAATAAAAATCTGTGGCTCTTGTGTGGCAAACTGACCCGTTTTCTTCTGAGAACATGGAAGCTACCGCAATGAGACCAAACGCTACCAAACTTCCGGCAAACTGCTCAATGCCGGTGTCATTTCTTCAGCCGCCGTCTGCTGCCGGAGTTGTCTTCCTCGTTCCAAAATCTGTTCGATTGACTTCCTCATTTAAGACGCCTATGATTGCCCGAGCTTCCGACCCTAAAACTGACCAAGTAAATCCCAGCACTGATGAACCTGGCCTTCCTTTCCTACCGCAGGTTACTCCCACTCCACTTCATTATATATACATTTATACTCTCTCCTTAATCTATATGAATCGATCGATCAATTTTTTTAGTGAGGTCGTTTGTTGAAATTTTGTGGCAATTGCAGGAGGATTCGAGTTTTTTGGTGAAACTGGGAGTAGGTTCAGTGGCGGGAGGAGCAGCGATAAAGTACGGAAGTGTAATTTTCCCAGCGATAACAACACCAAACATTTCAGTAGCTCTGTTTATGATATCAGCTCCGATGATTGTTGCCGTGGTGCTCTTATTCTTACAAAGCCGTGCAGATTCAAATTCTGCGTGAAAAAGCTCTTCTTTTGTACTAAGGACCTCTAAAATTTGTACCAAATGATTTTTATATATTCTTTCGTGGATTTTGTAGCTCGTTTTAGTTACTCTGCGTTGCAATTAAATATTTACACATGTTTAATGAATCTTAAAATACAAATATATGATCCATGTAAAGGCTATTGGACTCATCCAAATTGGTACCTAATGCTATAGCTCCGCCCCTGGTGGAGGTGACCTTAATAATGTGCAACGATTGCGGAGAATATTATGGTAGATTAGACTAATGTGATCTTTGATTGATCAAATCCATATTTACTAAGTTTTATGCTGGAAATACAAATATGTTTATCATTAAGTTTTATGCTGGAAATACAAATATGTTTATCATTTGCAACCATCAAAGAAGTTCGTGTTAGCCCACTGCAAATCATTTTCAAAAGGTGGACAAATATGGAGTAGCCTCAGGTCAACCTTCCCAAGCCCGCAAATAGCGGGAGCTTAGTGCACCAGCTTTTGGACAAATATTTGTTTGGATATTTCTGGGTTTCTGCTAAATGCTTGCTGACATACAAAATTTCTTACATAAAAATAGCTGTTAGAATCCAACTCATGGACTTCTTTGAGGTGGAGAAAATATATTGTCAGAATTTACAAAGGCGAAGGATTAGGTTTCCTAAAAGAATAGGGTGGCTGAATTCAATTTTACAGGAAGAATCAACAAAGAAAATTATTCTAAGAAATGAAAGGCCGCAAGATGCTATAATGGCTGTTTTGAAGCACATAAAATTCAATGCCATTGTCGTATAAAAGAGGATTGCTGAGGCAGTATTCCAGCACCGAGTACTACAGGTTGTCTCTTAACCATTTTAGTGCACCATTTACGACAGACCTGCAATCACAAACCTTTAATTAGAAGCAAGAAACACTTGCAACAGAATAAAACTAAACATGGTTAAGATTAACTATCGCAGAAATATGGCGATATAAATGGTGCAAAATTTATTGGTAATCCGAAGTCCAATGTCAAGCTAAATGTATACCCCTACACAAGTAAAGGGTCATTCTACCATGGCTTTGTGAATGTGTGTCTATTTTCTGGCAAGGTTGCTGAATTCATACAGCAAAACCACTTAAAAGGATCTACCATGTTTTTAGACCCCAAAAATAGGTGACTTATGTGGTCAGTGGTTCTAACAACATAAGCATCTTTCAAATCAAGACTAAATTACCAAGAACTAAATACTTTCCAAGAGAATTCCTAATTAACGAATAATGATCAAGAAATTTACCCAGCAAAATTTGTTAACTTCTTCAATGGATCATCTTGATCTTCTGATGACTCATCAGTTTGTGCTGCAGTTGAATCTGAATCTACTGGAGTTTCTGTAACTTTAGCTGCAAAGCAGAAAAAAGATGGTAAATTTTTATGCCAAAGGACTGTACTGACTGTCAATGAGATATTCATTTCAATATCCAAGTACCATGACTTTTGCCTTAACCTGATCATAAGTTTCCAACACTCAGAGCAAGGTGTTCCTCTTTTTGAGTGAGGAGAAACTCTAACTTTCGATACTGTGAGTGAATTCAGAGCATAATTTTCCTATCCTCAGAGTGATTAAGTATTTCCTTTTTGGAACCTTCATCAAAAAAGTATTTCCTTTTTGGGACAACTGTATAAGGTAGGATCCTAAGACTTGATTGTATTTTCTAATCACGTGCTCTGATTCTCTGAGCTGCATGCTCTATCTAAACTGCATTGGATATATTTCCAATTTTAAAAGGATTTTCTCTTCCGGGATATTCTAGGTTGAGAAACATAACAGAGCTTTTATATAGTATGGGTTAGAATCAATTACTTCATTTCTCAATTCACGAGTAACAATATATTCCTCTTTGTTCTCCCGTGTTTTGTATCAGTTTTAACTTCTTGAAGCATCACACAAATTTCCAAGTCAAACTTAGTGGTTGATCTTGGGGTTTTTAAGTAACTAACCAAATACAGTAGCCAAAACCTATCACTGAACTCGCAAATGGTTCATTTTCATTTTATTTTTTATTGATAATCAATAGCATCTATTTCAGAGCTGATGACCCCAGGTCTAGTTCCAAACAAGATAAGATGTACTCCCTCCATTCCAACATAAATGAATTTTTGGTGTGTGGCACACCCCTTAAGAAAGTTAGTTAATTAAATGGCAATTTGTCAATATTACCCTTTTATTTCTTCCCAAACTTTTCTTAAAACTAGAGATAGTTGGAAAAAAAACCCATTAAAGAGAAAGGTCATTTTGGAAAAAAATAATTAATACATCTTTGGACTTTGAAAAATTCTTTCATTTTGGACCAGAGGTAGCAGCATTTATTTGGAAGGCTATATCCATTTCTGTTTGATAATACAGTGAGTAAATATTTGGAAGGATATATCCATTACAATCAGCCACACAAGTGACAGATCATTACCTTCTATTATCTGGAACTCATCATGTTTAACTAATGTCACAACCCAGTGTCATTAACGCTGTCATTCACGTATAGAGAATTGAGAAGATGATGAATCAAGAAGTAATTATACCAGTTTGCTGGACCGCCGGGCGAGTCTTTGTACGAGTGCTTGATCCCTTAGTTAGAGAAGCAAGTTCTTCAAGCAATTCACGCTCCGTCACGCTACAAAATAGAGAACCATGAATGAAGTCCCCATGCATAGACAGAAGCAATTATGAGAGCACTTGCATACAAGCCCTAAATTCTTGTGTAACAATATCAGATCTGTATTAGATGTGAAAAGCATTTCCTATATGCATTTTAAAGCATCATTTTCAGAAGAGCAGGGGGAATAGTTTGCTCATAGGAATTTGTATGCAGAAGATACTACTAACCAAAATTAGATGGTGATACTGATGAGTGGAAACATATTGATTTTTCACCAGTAGCCTGAGTAATGGTTCCTTTTCCTTTTATTTAACTTCAGGAATCAGGACATATGACCACTACGCTGGCTGGCAAACGAGCAAGAAGAGTGCAACAGTATTTAACACGTTTTATACATTAATTACTCCATTCATTTTGGGGGTGGATGGGGTTAGGATACAATTTGAATAAGTTTCTAACTCTTATTGAAAATAGATTTTGCTTGAGGAAATGCACAAAAATAACAACAAAGAAACAAAATATTTTCCCGAAGTAAGATCACCCACTCGCATCACCCAGATCATGATGCACTTGGCCATGCAAGTATATTATGCATTTTAATTAAGTCTTGGAGATATATCGAGTACACAACAAACAAATACTAGTATTTTCACTTCCTCATGTGCCTTCATGATACAGATGGAGGAGGTGATCAAACTCATTTGAAGTTGGATTCAGTCAGGCATGGTAGTTTTCATAATGAACAAATAGGTAAAGTTATGTGAGAGAAAAATGATTTTTTTTTACATATATTATAAATTTCAATTTTTCGGCTAACCATTTTTCTAAAAGAAGCGAAAACCAAACTGAATACCCAGAATACTAAAACCGAAACAGAAAATTTTGGTTTGGTCGGTTTATTCAAAACCAAATGATGCCCACCCCTGATACGACTACTGGACACACACACACACACACATATATATATATAAGTCCATTTAAAGAGAAGGACTGTTGGACATATTCAAGGAAAAATATATCTAGAGTTATTCAGGAAATTAGTTCCCAAACGTGTCCGGCATACTCCTCAGAAATATGATTAGGCAGAGTTACACAAGTAGGTGAGAAAACTGATATGTATAATTAGTTCATCATCTACAACTTAACACTTGCGCACCTGATGCGTTTTGGTATGCTAACTTTAATCGTGAACAAGTGATCACCACGTATTGATGGCTTATTTAGCTTCGGTGCACCTTTCCTTGCCAAGACAAGCACATCCCCAGGTTGAGTGCCTGGAGGAATCTGGAGATCAGTCATCCCATCCACTGTTTTAACCTGACGAGAACATCAGGGAGAAGGAAAAAGACTGAGAAATATGATATCAATGAAGGCAATTGAAGGGCAAAATGAGGTGGCCTTGACAGATGCCAGGCGTTGGTTCTTTCTCTCACACCTCTTTCCCCCTCTTCCAGCAAGGGAGAAAGACTAATAACAAACGGACAAACATATAGAATATAGAAGGATCTCATCATGTGGCAGGAAAATTACAGTACTACCATGCATTTGTTGTATGAGGAAATTTAAAAATTTATGAAGCTTTCAGAATCTTGTTTTCATTTGTCTCATTATTCAAGTAGATGTACCTTGCCCCTGGATCTGATAGGGGATGTTTCTCGAAAGAGGCTCATTTAAAAGGAGAAAAAAGAACCGGTTCCGATGAGTTAGGCTCATACTAAAAAGTCTGAATTTCTATTTTCCTGACTCACCAAAAACATTACTTCCATACAGGCTTTATCTTGAGGGTAAAAAGAACTTTTACATTGAGAATACTATAAAAGCGATACAGCATACTATCTGATTCACATTCTTATCAGAATATGGAAGGAGCCAAGACAAATATCGTGTAAAATTACCTTAACAACAGCCCCAAGTATAGCATCTAGATAACCGACTGAAACTGTTGAAATCAGATTTATGCCATCTCTTTGGATCTCAGATATCTCTTCAATGTCAAGATAGACATAAAGATCTCCAGGTGGGGCACTGCAAAACATAGTCAAAAATGAACTAACAAACTGAGATATGTTCTCAATCTCAATTTGTATGTGAACATCTAACATGTGATAGACTACAACAACAACAAGTCCTCCTCAATCCCATACAAATTGGGGTCGGCTAAATGAATCTCCACCTTCGTTTAAGCTCATTTCATATCATGATGACTCAAGATGCTAAAACGGGACAAGGTTAACCTAAACTCACATATAAGAAATCTTCTCAAAGATATAGAATCTCAAGCCACACATGTAGATTTAGAGAACAATAAAACGTAATGGAAGCAAAAGGTCCATATAGGCAATACAAACTAGTGAATGTTGGCTCACTTACTTTAGGTCCAATAATTGCTAGGACTCTATTTAAACTGACGATTTATATTTTAGATCCAAGAGGGAACTTAGGACTAAGGAGTA